TTCCCAGTACTGGCCTCTCAGCTGCCATTGTGATGTGCGGGGCTCCTGGCGGGTTCCTGTGCCTTTAAGGCGGTTGGGCTGCCTCCTGACATCCCTGCACCCAATGCATTCTTCACTATATATCCTCCAAGATGGCGGCTCTCATAGATTAGAGTTAGGACCGCACTATACAGAGGTGCCTGGACCCGGCAGTGCGGCTACGTATGTATGTGAGATATGGACCTTAGATTGTGAGCTCCTCGAGGGCGGGGACTGAGGTGCAACTATGTAAATTGTCGGCTCCATATAAATACCTGTAATATATTATATGTTTATGTGGCCATCAGGCCTGGAGGAAGCTTCGAGAGAGGACCATGCACTGAAGAATGAGCAAGAGACCAATAACTTGTAGTAAAGCATGTTCTAGTGGTCCCATGTAGGCCAGTGGTCCCATGTAGGCCTGTGGTCCCGTGTAGGCCTGTGGTCTCGTGTAGGCCAGTGGTCCCGTGTAGGCCTGTGGTCCCGTGTAGGCCTGTGGTCTCGTGTAGGCCAGTGGTCCCGTGTAGGCCTGTGGTCCCGTGTAGGCCTGTGGTCCCGTGTAGGCCTGTGGTCCCGTGTAGGCCTGTGGCCCCGTGTAGGCCTGTGGTCCCGTGTAGGCCAGTGGTCCCATGTAGGCCTGTGGTCCCGTGTAGGCCAGTGGTCCCGTGTAGGCCAATGGTCCCATGTAGGCCAGTGGTCCCGTGTAGACCAGTGGTCCCGTGTAGGCCAGTGGTCCCGTGTAGGCCAGTGGTCCCGTGTAGGCCCGTGTTTGGAGTTCAGCCAAGGCATGAATGGTAGACGTTGGCCTGCTATGACGTGATTCACTGACTCCTAATATGCTGAATGAATCCTGAGGATTGTTATAGCCAGGTCACCCCCACTGGTAGTTCCGGGAGACCAGCCCCCCTTTATTTTATGTGCGGTCATCTCTGGGGGGTCACATTCTCCCAGATGAAAGTCCGGAACATTCTTTGTAGAGAAGTGAAAAGGCCTTTGGACGGGTGAATTGGAAGAGTGTATACAGCACAGATTAGACCCGGGGGGGGGGGGGGGGTGTGTT